TCTCTCTCTCTCTCTCTCTCTCTCTCTCTCTCTCTCTCTCTCTCTCTCTCTCAGCATATGAGACTATGAGGCTCATTTTCCAGAATGGATAGCAGCACGGGCACACTTTTTTGAAGTTTTTGCCTGTTGCCGCTGGCCATTTTGGTTCGGTAGGGCGAGCCCTGAAAGCTGCGGCATCTTTTAGGCTTTTAGCGGTCGCATAGGAACAAAATAGCTGCGAAAGATACTGGTGGTTTAAAATGCCGGTATGATTGTGATGGTTGCTTTTCACATTGGAATCGATTGGATTGAAATTGTCTTTTACAGTTTTACCTTTTTAACGGCAAGTTCAACTGGACCTGTTTGCGCCTGTATTCGGTCAGCAACGCACCATGTTTTCACATTGCAAAGCACACCAGGCTGGTTAACTAATTAAGTAATTTTTTTACTAACTTACTATTTTGACTTTTTTTTAATTCAGTTTTTGTCCACAGGCATCGGAACACGCTGATGTCATGAGGGCTTTCAGGCTTCACATTGCTTCTTCTTCTTCTTCTTCTTCTTCTTCCGTTTTTTAAGTTTTTTTTTTTCCTTTTTTTTTTTTGAAGGGGCCTTCACATTGATTGCCATGGGTGTTCGCTAACTCTTGTTCTTGATTTCTACCCCACACAGGCGTTGGCACGCTTATGCGGAGAGGACTTTCCGGCGTTTCACTGTTGAGGTGGTCCCCCACGGGAGATTACCTTGTTTCTGCAAAAGTGTATGTGTGTTTAATACGGAAACCAACCACCTTTTACGTACATTTCTCTACCTGTGTGATGCACACCAACACCTATGAGGCTATGAGCATGCATGCTTACCTTCTTAACCTGAATAGAACGCCCAGTCATTATAGTAGCCGTACTTGGTGCAATTTTCAGTCTTCTTCTTCTTTCTTCTTTCTTCTTTCTTCTTTCTTCTTCTTTCTTCTTTCTTCTTTCTTCTTCTTCTTCTTCTTCTTCTTCTTCTTCTTCTTCTTCTTCTGCTGCTGCTGCTGCTGCTGCTGCTGCTGCTGCTGCTGCTCCTCCTCCTCCTCCTTAAATTCTTCTTGCTTCTTCTTCTTAAATACTGCTACTACTTCTTCCTCTTCTTCTTCTTCTTCCTCCTCCTCTTCTTTGTCTTCTTCACTCCTTCATTCTCGTCTATTCTTTGTGTTATTCCAGTTCTTCTTGCTTTCCGATGAATGCATTCACTGAAATAAGTCTTGGGCAGGATCACAGCATTAAAAAAGAAGGATTCTGCAATTAAGAGTGGCACCCATGCTATTTGCATTTGCACACAGGCAAATCGAGAACTGCTCCAAATTTGAACATGAAAAAGGTAAATTCTGCATTTCGACATTGTCGCAATGTCTTGAAGATGGTAAAAGGTAAGAGGCCCTCCCATTGTCGCACTGGCGACTTCCGATTTTACGCCCAACGCGATTTTACGGCCAATGCGATTTTACGGCCACTGTAGGTGTCACGTTGAGTGCAGCGCTGTGAACTGGTGTATGTATATAATCTGCAATTTGCTGCTAAGCTCTGTGAGGCTGTGCACAGCCAACATGATTTCTGCTGACCAAGTGTGCAGCAGACTCTGCAGAGTGAATTACTGGGCCGTAAAATTGGACGTCGCCAGTGCAAACTGTGCATGGGAGGTGCAACTGTCTTTGAAAGTAAATAAAAACGTTTGGAAAAAAAAAAAAAAAAAACCTTCATGAAGTTTCTGTGGAATGTGAATGTTTCTTTCTTTTCTTTCTTTCCTTTTTTTTTTTTTTTTGTGGAAGATTGCCTATGGTTCCTTCCCGCTCCTGTTAAAAACATAGAGGGCGAGTCTGCTGCTGAGCTGTGGAAGAGCAGGTAACAGCAATCGTGATTGAGGCTGAATCTGATGAATGGTGGTGGTGGTGGTGGTGGTGGTTCTCTGTGGGGTGTGTGAGCAGAGGGGGCGAGTTTTACTTGTGGGAGACGAATACGTGGCGCTCCGAAAAGTGGTCCTCTGGGAGTGGAAGAGTGGTGGTCAGTACCCTTTTTCTTTTTGTTCTTTTTCCTTCCCCCCTTTGCACTTGGTTTGCTTGAGCTGGGTACGGTCTGTAGAGTGTTGATGATTTGGTCATATGGAATCCCTTCTTGGTTGTCTGGATCCCTTCTGGGTCATCTGGAATCGGGATCCCGTTGCAGTGATCTGGAATCGCTATCTTCAAGCTCCTCAGAATGTAGCTTGGATGCTAAGTGTGGCAAATGGATGTTGGCTTTCCTGTGCCTCTTTCTTTTTCCTCACTTCTTTTTGTTTTTGTTTCTTTTTTCCCCCCAAGGTTTTGAAATTTGAATGGATTCCCGCTGCAAGCTTTCCCAGTCCCGTTTCCAGGGTCCCGAAACTCCAGTCCCAGGCCATCCCGTTAGAGTAGGTCCCAGGGTCCATAGGATCAGGAGTCCCAGTCTGGGACTTCACGGCGCCGTCAGAGTCGGTCCCAGGGTCCATAGGATCAGGAGTCCCAGGCTGGTACTGCTGGTAGGCTACAGTGCCATACAGTACCGGTAGCAGCACGTCCCGTCCCCAAAGGTCCAATTTTGCACCAGCCTCACAAGAAAGTCGGGAACTTTCCCAAAATGGCAATTTGGCAAGGCAGAGGCCGCAGGAGGCCAGTACCGATCGAAGCGGTCACGAACAGCCCACTGCAAGCCCACTGCAACTATATATTTTGGGCTACAGTGCACTGTAGCCCAAAAGCGGGCACGAACAGCCCACTGCAAGCCCACTGCAAGCCCACTGCAAGCCCACTGCAGAGGCCGCCGAAGGCGGTCGGTTGTTCATTTGGTGGAAGCGCTGCTGGCGCTTGTGCAAACTAGCGACCTGGACGAAGAAATAGCACTGGGAGAGAGGGCGAGCAAGATCCCTGGCCGCGGCAGGCGACCATAACCAGGCGAGACGGAGGAAGCCAACGGAGGCCATAGCCGCCGGATGTCAGCAAGGCACACAGCAGAGGCATTCAGGGTATATCTAGGACATTGAAGGAGGAGGAACAGTAGCGAGGAGCAGTGAGGGATGAACAGTGCAAGTAGAGAGAGAGAGAGAGAGGGGGGGAGGGAGGGGGGGAGAGGGGAGGGAGGGAGAAGTCGGGTACTTACCAAAGTCATGTTGCAGCGGTTCAGACCGCTCAGTCCCAAACTTTTTCAATTGTATGTTATAAATTGTATATTATTATTATTATAATATTATTATTGTAATTTTAGTGGAACTTCATCTGGGCACTGTTCAATGTTCATGGACATCGGTCAAGCTTGTGTGAGCTTCATCTGAATGTCCTTCAATTTGCATGTTGTATTTTGAGTTGAATCTTGCGAGGTTCATTGTAATTTCTTTTTTTACTCTTTTTCTCTTGGGAAAATTTTGGAAATGCCCCCGAAAGTTGGGGTATTTCGATAGGTTACTCCTAAAAGGCATGGGTATATGACGGTTGTGAAACTTTGTGAAAAAAATACCCCTCTCCACTTCAACCTGCCATCTTGTGCATGTACCCCTACCAGGCCCTGCGGAACTTGTCCATATTCCCAGGTATTCCTGGCCGTTGGACCCTTGGCGGATTTGCAAATACCACCTGGCCAAGCTCACAGTTGGTACATCCCCCCTGAACTGAACTGTTGAAATATAGACCAGGTGCTGAGTTCGAACTCCACTGGAAGCAGATGAGTAAAATACTACAATTCTGAATTACCTACAGTAGGGCCGGTGATTTCGATGATAGTATGCCAAGGACGTCACCCTGAAGAAAAAGAAAAAAAGGAGAAAAAAAAAGAAAAAGAAAATTGCAACTGCCCCTAGCGCCAGCTGCCAAGTTTTCCATTTACCCCTGTAGCCGTTCAAAGCCCTACCGGGAGTGTTTTTGCCAATGGATCAGAGATTGTTGAGGTCTTGTCTACTTGTTCCACGACCACGGCTCCGTTGGTGATGGAGACGGAGACCGAAAATGATGACTGCGCTGCAGAGATGGAGACGGAGACCGAAAATGATGACTGTGCTGCAGAGATGGAGACGGAGACCGAAAATGATGACCGAGGTGCAGAGATGGAGACGGNGAGGTGCAGAGATGGAGATGGAGACCGAAAATGATGACCGAGGTGCAGAGATGGAGACGGAGACCGAAAATGATGACCGAGGTGCAGAGATGGAGGCGGTGGGAAGGTGGGAGTTCAAGAGGAGGAGGGAAGGTGATGGAGATGGCGGTAGTACAAAAGAAGGCGGGAGTAGAGGAGGAGGAGCGATGGTGATGGTGATGGAGATGATGGTGATGGTGATGGTGATGGTGATGGAGATGAAGGTGATGGTGATGGTGATTGTGATGGAGACGGTAGCGCTATAATAACCGTATCTTGTCTTCGGGTGGAGACGGTAGCGCTTTTCACGGATTTATATGGTCGCTTTTCCGACCTGGACAGGATGCACCTAACTGCCAAGACGTCCACAGAGGAAGACGAGTAAGTGGAGGAGGAGAGGTGTGTTGCCTGGAAGCATCGTACCTGGGCGGCTATGGCAACACACTGCGGGCGAGGGCAACACACAGGTGAACAAAACATGCGGGGCAACGCTCCAGCGGAAAACAGCGACATCAACGCAACACAACGACAACATATTCAAAATTTCGAATTGGACTGGTGCCAAGTTTGATGTGGGGTATGCGGAAAAGATGCCTGCTGCGCGGTAGTGGGGCACATGGCAAAAGAAGTGCGTAGTCCTCTGCAGTCCACGGCCAAGGGCATGTGGTGCCGGTGGACCGGACAGGGGCATATGCAGAAGTTTGGGGCTTTTTGTCGCAACCCTCTGTTTTTTAGGGGGGTATTTGATGAAATACCCCAACTTTTAGGTGCATTTCAACAATTTTGAATTTTCCCATTTTTTCCCTTTTCTCTTCCATCTTTCTCCTTTTTCCTTTTTTTTTTTTATTTAAAGGTCAACAGCCTTGAGATATCATCCTGGAAGTGACCTGCCACCGGTAATTGAAGATTTGAAGATTTCATTCATCTTTCTACTTACAGATTCGAACTCAGGTCTGTCCTGTCTTTCCCCACTTCATTCCTGTACCAAATGAGCTAACACCCCCCCACCCCCCCCACCCCGGGGCTTCATTGTCTTTTCTTTTCTTCTTCTTCTTCTTCTTCTTCTTAAAAATAATCCCAGGGCTTCCTCTTCTTGGGTAGTACTTTCTTTCAATAGGCATCTTTCATTGCCTGGTTTGCGCTATATATCGTCAAACTGACTCAAACAGAACTGCCCGGTAAACCATAGGCAGAGAGGGAGAAGAGGAGAGGACACTATATGTTTCTTCAACACAACAAGGACGAGGACGAGGACGAGGATAATGAGTGGCAATGATGATGATGATGATGGGTTGACCCAACAAATACCCTATCTGACAGAAATGAGGAGGAGGAGGAGGAGGAGGAGGAGGGTTTGGCGGAAAATTGACCCCATCAATATCAGTAACGCATCTGCTAGCAATGATGGATGATGTAAACTCCAGGGCTCCAAGCCTGACTGTACAGTTTTTTTTTTTTTTTTAGTTGAACCCATTTTGCATGCATTATGCAAGGAACACGAATATGGACGAAGCACAGAAATCCAGATTGCAAAATCACACTGAAGTCCAAGTAGTCAAAGTAAGAGCAGATAGCACAATGGAACCGAGTAACCATCCATTTGAGAACGATACAGAAGAATCGTGAGTCAATGTCCAAGCCCAACAGGGCAACACCAACAGCATAACCCAATGTAGCTCTCTCTCCTGAATGGCGCCAGGCGCCCTATCTACTCTACAGCCTAAGCCTACAACTACAGCAATGAAAGCAACCAGACAACTTGACGACCAGCGAGTGATGATGTCAACACCAATGCCGACCTCCACCTCCACCAGGTACGTTTCCTCCTTCACCCACACTCTCCCTTGTTATCCCACACAGCGCCCTTCACCTCCGAAGAACCACCTTCGCCCTCACCTCCCCTGCGCCCTCAGGCAGCCCGGCCATGGCCGCCAGCGCCCTGCGCACACAGGCAGCGCCCTCCCGCTTTAGCGCTAGCCTGCTCCCTTAGCCTTAGCGCAGCACAGCAGCTCGCGTTCGCGCAGCATGCCGGCAATGCCCGCACTGGCCAAGATCCCTGCCCACTCGCCCTGCTTGCCTATATGCCAGTGTTGCGTGTGGGCGGCCTCCCTTCAGCCTGCGTCTGGGCCCCAGTCGCTGAACCCAGGCCCGATGCAGTTGAGGCCTGGGGGATGCAGTTGCACCTCTTTCGTCAAGGCCTGCGGCCAGATTCAGATAGTGGGCCGATTTCCCTTTGGCATTTTCGGCCTCTATACCCAGCATGCATTGTCGGCCTCACGTTCAAGTGCCCAGGGCCTAACTAACTCAGAGGCCCTGGGCTTTCCCCATTTGCTGAGATCCGAGACTCGGTGCACTCCAACCAACTGGCGTGCTGCAACTGTATGGACCCCACTTCGTGAAATGTTTGCAGAGAGGGCTSTTGTTGATTTGCTGGCCCGCCTTCACTTAGGGCGGGCACGAGGCTTGCTGGGGCCTTAGCCCAGAACATGTACATCATGGCAAGGCCCTTTCTTGAGGGCTCAATCCTCACAATTATCAGCCCTTCCACCCAAAAAAAAAAAAGGCAATACAAACAGAGTTTAACAAAGTTTAACAAACAGTAACGCCCCCACTGTTAACATGTGTTGTTATGTAATGTGTGAAGGTGGAGGCGAGGGGAGAGTATGATATGGTATTATGGACTATGTACGAAGTACTACGAACTGCATAGTAATAATATGATTAATAATATGATTAATATGATATCTGAAAAACATGAAAATTAAAAATTGCCATGAAATTGACTGAAATAATTTGGACCTTGAAATTAGTAATGAATGGACTGAACTACCTAGAATGGATATGGAGCAAGGACCTGTTTTTTCAACTTTTTTGTTAAAAAAAAAAAAAAAAAAAAAAAAAAGGTAATGAATGGACTGATCGGTTGATGTGTTGACAGAGCTGTGAGTGGAGTGCTGATGGGAAAACCGTGCTGCTAGCTTTCGCGAACTCAACAGCAATCGGATCGATTCATTTCACTGGGAGACCTCCATCTCTGGGTATGATATGATTTCTGACTTCCATTGTTTCTCATTGCACCACTGCCCCGCTTCCGTCTCGTTAACATTTTTTTTTTCTAATTAGTTTTTAACGTAAGCAGTTTCTTTATTCACTCATTGTTGTTGTTATTAAAGTTATCAAGTTATTGTATGCATGAACGAGATATTTCGAGCTCACTCGACAGATTCGTAGCTGTATACTTGGATGATATCTTGATCTTGGTAAGACAACAAAGGACGAGTCGAAGCCAGGAGGAGGAGGAGGAGGAGGAGGAGGAGGAGGAGGAGAAGAAGAAGAAGAAGAAGAAGAAGAAGAGCGATTGGAGACGGAGAAGACGACCAAGTTTACATTTATCAATGAGACTCTTTTGGACTTTGTGACAGTTTGTGTGACATTTGTGTGTCCGGTGTGATGCTGGATTTGTGTCCGAGCAGGGTTACCCGCCCGAACGTGAGGGGGGGGGGGGTTCTCCAGACTCTCCAACCCCCCCCCCCCCTGAACGTTCGGGTGTCCGGGCGAACGTGAGGGGGCTGAACTTTTTTGAACTTTTGTTTTTTTATTTAAATTTGGTCAGGAATTTCGATGTAACTCTGAGGCAAAAGTTGCTCAGTTTATTTTTCTGCATAACATAGTTTTTTTAACTTTTTTCAGATTTTTTTTTAATTTTTTTATTTTTTTTGACTTTTTAAAAGTTTTTTTGCTGGGACCTTCTTTGTCCCCTGCACGGCCGGACCGTCTGGGCAAACAGGGTGACCCGGGCAGCCGGGCTGGTACCCTAAATATGTACTTAAGTACTAAGTTAATACAATTTATTTGTGCTCGATATTGCTCTGTAAATAAATTATCTTTCTTTCAATACAATTTATTTGTGCTCTATATTGCGCTATGAATTTATAAAATAGTATAAAATTATAAATAAATGATCTTTCTTCCACCTTATTTCACCTTATTTCACCTTATTTCACCTTATTTCACCTTATTTCACCTTATTTCACCTTATTTGTCTTGTACTTGTGTATTATGGTCTATTCAGCTCTATTGCTATGTTACCGGGGTGGCCACGGACCACTTGCCCTGGCGGGCCAAAAATGAATCGAAAAAAAAAAAAAAAAAAAACAATACTTGTTAAATTTTACTTTTTTATTTTTTATTTCGCAAAGAATTTCTGTCCGACCCGGAGGCAAAAGTTGTTCAGTTTACTTGTTCGTGTCTTTTCGCACAGCGGCCCGGTCAAACGAGGTGATCTGGGCAACGTTTTTTTTTCCGCTTTTTTCGTTTCGTTTCGTTTCTTTTCTTTTCTGACAGGGACCTTCCCTGGTCCTTGCCCGGCCAAGCGGCCGGGGCAAACGAGGTGATCCGTGCGGCCTGGTTTATAACACAGGTCTATTGTTTATTCCTTATCTTTCTTTGTCGAAGTTTCTTGTCCTTGTTTATTTAAATTATTTTCCTTTCTGCTTTTTCCTTTTGCAGATGCACACCTTCTGCCTGTGGAACTTCCTGAATTGAGCGCCCTCGTTGGAGTAGGGAAGGAAGGCTCACCGTAAGTTCATCATTGCTCAATCATTCCGATCACTCTACTCTTCTCAAACCTGCTCACCCCTCCCTGCATCCTCTCTATGTCACCCTTGCTTCCTCATCCATTGATGCGAGAAGGTATCAATCATGCTTGTTGTTTCTTCCCTCCTCTCGGTCCCCCCTCCCACGCTCCCCTCCCTTCCTCCCCCCCCGCCGGCCCCCCTGTTCCTTTCCATTAATCCCTACATACTACTAAAGGAAACAGCGGTCCTCGCGTGGGGCCATACTACTAAAGGAAACAGCGGTCCTCGCGTGGGGCCCAACAGAAACCGGACGCCTCCACGCAGGACCGGTTACGGGCAGCGGCGAAGGGGGAACCGGTGGAACTCGGGGCGAGGGCCGGAGAAATGCCGGTGGGAACTGGCGACACCTGCAACGACTAGCAAAAAAAAGGCTGTGCCGACACCCACGACGAGGGCCGGAGAAATGCCGGCACGAACTGGGGACACCTGCGACGACTAGCAAAAAAAGGGCTGTGCCGACACCCGCGACGACTACCGAAAAAACGGGGGCAGGGAATCGGCACAGGCGGTGACGGGGAATGGACGACACGATGTCGGTGACGCGAAAGAGGGGGAGAGAGAGAGAGAGAGGGTAGTTCCATCAATAGGATGAGCAAAATCGAATGAATCTACCACTACAACATGGAAATATACACTGTTTTGTTGTTGTTGTTCTCTCTCTCTCTCTCTCTCTCTCTCTCTCTCTCTCTCTCTCTCTCTCTCTCTCTCTCTC